AAATTTTGATTTTTTAGGATTTCAGGTTTACTTACCCGCAAATCATTTTTCGTTACCTATTTAAAAATTGTAGTTTTGTATTGATATCAACTTATTATTTTTAACGAGAATCACCCATTTTAACTGTACATTTATTGTGAAATAGATCATTATTTAAAAATACTACGTATGTGTTATCTAAATCAAAATTTAAACAAGTAATTTTATTAAACTTACGTAGATACTTAAGAATGAGTAATGCATGATCTTTAATAAAAGTTTTACATTAAACCTAATATATATATAACATAAAATATATTTTCTAATATACTTAGGCTATTAGGTACATGAAATATTTACTCGATCAGACGACAGTTATTATTACAAATTATAAAATGCTGATCAATAAATATAATTTTCAAATCAATTCATTCCATCCATATAAGTAACTATGACAACAAAATCCTGGCGAAAAATTGGTCAAAGACATTTAATCATGTATTCAGCATTTCAGCCCAAGGACACACGTATTTATGTTAAAAAATTTGTACCTTTCTAAGAATGTATCAATTAGTACACGTAGATTATCTGGTTAAATGATAGGGTTAAAAGTTAAAACAGTTTGAAATCCGTGGTAGCTCACTCCTTATACATAGTTCTGAGTTATTATAGTAAAAAGTAAAAGTAAAAAATTCCCTGAATATAAAAAAACCATTTTTACACCATCATATTAACTAACTATATTCATTAGTTTGATAATTTTTTTTTCATTGTCGTATTTTATTATAATATATTGTTTAAACTTCCATAGTTCCGTCCCCATGTATACAGGGTGTCCCGTGAGGATTTACCTATATTGTGATATCTCCCGAAATAATGGTGATATCGAAATTCTGGTTTTGTAATAAGACTCACAGGGATCAAAACTACAGTTATTTCATATTTTAATTTATTTTAACGTTTTGGTAAAAAAGTTAAAAAATATATTTTTTTGTTTAATTATTTCCAAAAAAATTAAAGATAGCCATCTTA